AGTGAAGTCAATCCCTCGACAACCGTTCTGCCGAAAACGGTTACACTATCACTCCTCTTTCTGTCATTGTTTGTCACTGTCTATAGACAATGACAGAAAGAGGAGTAAAGCTCCCTGATGATGCCGACTACGATGCTGGCGAAACGTTTGAGAATGTATCAAGTCCACTGTCAGATGCTGGGGATCATGATGACTACTATGGCAGACGACTTCGGACTAGGTGCGTTCTACATAGTCTCCCTGACAACAAGACCAAGTTGCGACGAGGTCAACCCACTTCTATAAATCGAAAGGAGACTGCGAACATACCAGAGGCCACAACATCTTGGTCTTCATATCTTCAATTAACTTGAATAAGCTTTTATTCAAGAATCCCTTATTGTCTCGATGTCTGTTAGCATCAAAACTGAGAGTTATTTAGTCTGTGAAACGGTGGTTAACTTTAAAGATGTCTGCTCCAATTTTATACGAAGGTTTGGAGGGAATTATTGCGAGTTAAAGGCCTAAAAATACGGACAACGGCAAATATAAGTTGTCTGAGAAGCTTTTATGCCGTTTCCACTTGAGGTGAGTACAACAAATGACTCCCTGTGATTGCTTCGCATTCATTTTCACTAGTTTTGACTCCCGACCTTCTGGATAACCCTGCACTGAGTAATTCATGACTGTTGGGCCGACTTTCATTTCGTGTGAAAGTATGTAGTGAAGGTATACGTAGTTCGATCTGGCCACGAGATGACGGCGTATTTTACCAGGTTTAGGGCATCTGCGAATCTTCCACTATGTCATACCTTCCTATAACGACTTCCAGCAAATAATCCCACCGGTCTATTCCCTTCCGGCAAGAGTAGTGCGTTGCGGCTGTGAAGCCGCCTTTCAAGTGACACTTAGGACGTAAACTCTACACATATTTAGGAAGCCCAAGAAGCAGCAGAAAAAGCGGAATCTTGCGCCGTCTCCTGGTGTGCGAAAGCTTACTCACCTTAAGTCGCTTAAAGTGATTTACACAATGATAATGGAGTTTTTCCCATAATTACTCAACTATGCCTCAGAGTGCAAATGAATTTGAGTTAGCTTCGACTCCGATGAAGTTTTCTCATCCTGTCTGGATTGGATTACCCTCTCAAGCTTGCCCAAGTCCTATCTACACTCGTTTGAGTGCTGGGTGGGGAAGTGAAATGGCATCATGAGGACTACTCATAGGTTGGGGAGAAAATCTACTAACAGTCCGTAATATCACCAAAAGCGACCTAAGCTAACTAAGTCTTTAGACGGGTGGACATATTTTGCCTACCTTATCACATCAACAGACATGAATACAGAGATACACCCGCATACGCACACAGTACATATGAATGTATACAAATACATTTAATTGTGCACGAGCTTAGAGATGAAAATTGGTCAATCAAGTCCATCTATACCTCCCGAAGATCCTAGTTTTACGGGTCCGAGTTGTTATCCGAATTTCCCCTAGTCTCACACTACTTGTGAGTAGGATATCAGGCCAGCCTGGAAGTAAAGGTAAGCTACCGTTTTACGCAAAGTTTCGGGTCCCCAGTGGGCAGGGATTTAGAGGCCTCGAAATCGAAGAATAAGGAGACGTCAAACCGGACGGTACCGACGGCCGTATCGAGGTCTAAGACTTTGCTCCGACTGCACCGACGCGAATTCGACTGTCATGACGACATGGCGAGCCGAAGTCTGGCCTTAAGGCCCCCGCCGTCAGCTGGGCACAGCTTCTGCCAGTCCGTCAAGTGCTCTCTCCTCTTCTCCAGCATTCACTTAACTTTAATTGCCAACGTCCCCTCCATCAACCGGCGACCGGCCGACAGGATCAAGAGGTCTCAGAGAGCCGACCCGTCACTGGGTTGACAATCAAGTGAATATGCTTCGAAGACGCGAGACTCGAAATCAATATTTCCCTAGCGCCAATCTTGGTGAGGTGGGTAGACCAAAAAGCACGGAGAGGTGGATGGTGGCATGCCGGCAGGGACGACTGGGTTGAAGGGATGGCGCGAAACTGTCTGACGGGCTGGGGGCTGGGCGACCAGAGGGGCATATAAATTGCAAAAATCCCAGAGACCGAAATGCAGAGTCGAAAAAGGGGAAATCAGCCTTCAGGATCAATACAGCCTGCCTAGGCTACAGAAGGAGAAAAGAGACAAAGTAATTGGTCCACTTCAAGTCCAATTAGGTCTTCTGCTGACTTTCGTTTCGCAAAGCAAGAGCGAGTCGGCGGCCGAGCTCACGAGAAGACGATGGAGGTAGCTGTTTGTCCATTTCGCGAATGCAGTGCGGACGCAGCCCTCGAGTCAGGCTCTGTCGGTCATCGTTCGTCTCAAGCAGGAAAAATAGGTCTCCTGAGCCCATACAGACGCTGGTTGGGTCTCAAGGGCAAGGTTGGATGAAGATAAATTGGATTCTGAAGAATCCCTTAATACAGTGGTTCCTAAACTTTTCCTAGTCGCGGCGCACTTTTTCAATTAAAATTTGTCCATGGCGCCCTAGCCGAAGTATGACTATTCGTAAGTGAGAGATAAAAATAAATAGAACTCGTGTATCTTCATTATTTTATAAAATACTTTATTAACATTAAATTAATATTTAATAATTAATGTAATGCACATTTTCTCAAATTGAAGCTTTTACAATATTTCGCGGCATCCCGGGGTGTGGCGGCGCACAGATTGGGAATCACTGCCTTAAAAGATTAAGGATGGAATAACTTTAAGTTCGTTTGAAGAGATGAGTGGGAGGCATTCGCGAGTTGGTCTCATTGGAAGGTGTAGATTTGTGCGAAAAGATCCTCGGCGCACCGCCCTGCGATCCCGACAAGGCTTTTCTGAGCTTTCGTCCTTCGTGTGATGGTCATAGTCAGAGCAGAGCCACATGCTCACAAAGACACTTATGTTTTGGTGACTCATCGTAAAGCATGGTACTCTGCTCTGACGATGACCGCAGGACGGTGTGGCGGCGATCTTTTCGCACAAATCTACAGTTTCCGATGAGACCAACTTGCGAATGCCTCCCAATCGCCTCTTCAAACGAAATGAAAGGTACCCAAGCATCAAGGTTGGACGATGTTCAACAGCATTTCGTGGAAAAGGCACAATTTTCAATTTCATGTCGCTTTGGTGGAATCTCATCATCAGGCGAGCAGTCTGCTTAACTTAGTTCTCCGAATTCGATGGGAGTCAATCTTGATTGCTTGGAGTAACTCAACGACTGATGATGGTTGAATGCAAAATGTTTGTGTTGGTATGTTTTTATGTGCATGAAACAATCTAGATTGTGAGGAGATTCAACTATATCAATATAAAGTAGGCCTCGTAACTATCAATAAATCTTGAAATAAAAGAGTTCCAGTCCCCCTAGGTTGCATAAGCTGATAAAGGACTGAAAATTGAATTTTCGCTTATGCGGCTTATGGTGACTGGAAATCTTTATTTTCACGATTTAATGATAATTTCAAAGTCCACTGACAAAAAACACATTTTTCGTTTATAAGTAGAGTTTCGAGACCACCAGTAAATCCGTTATATGAGATGCATTCAGCCTATTTCGTTTAAGGTGATGAAGAATGTGGTATAGAAAAATGCCTGGCCTTCCTTAAAATTCACATCTGCCCTGTGACACAAGGACACTCATGGCAACGCGGCATAGTGGGTAACTTGTCGAGATTACCCGCTGCACTGTCATGGTTAGAATCCCGCGCTGAGGGTATCGATACGACCTGGGTAAGATGGAAACTGAAGTGCACCCTGGAGGAGAACACCTTTTGGGAAAGCAAGGCTATGTGAAATTGAATGGAGACCTCAACTCTACTCATATCATTGTGGGAAAATGCAATTACCAGTCTTTCATCACCTTCAACGAAATAGGGTGAATGCATCTCATGTAGAAAACAAGTTTGCCTCATCGACAATCCCACCATAGAAATGTGATATGGAAGAGGCCTGTGACTCAGGGCAATGTATGGCTGTTCGCCGAGACTGTTTTCCGCACAACAGTTGCTTGAGTTCGAGTCTCGCTGAACATGCTGATGAGACCAGTTCAGGCAGAGTCGAAACAGCAGCTTTTGAAAAGCAAGGTCTAGTGGAATTGAATGGAAGCAAGAGGTCCGCTCCTATGATTGTGAGAAAATGCAACTATGTTCCACATCATCTTAAGCGACGTTGAGTGTCACATGCCCTTATTCAAGCTCCACTGATAGCTCCACTGAATTCTATTTAACCATATCGTCATGCTTCAATCCTTAGTAAACGATTAAAATGGGAACAAAGGAACAATGAAAAGAGATAGTAAAGAAATTTGAGTAAAAACTGGGGCAGCCAGGGTGCCGACAGTCTGTCTAACCCACCAAGAGGAGAGACACTTTGTCTCAATTGTCCATCTGTTTGATTGAATTAGTTGTCCAAGACAGATAAAGTGAAGTCAGGAATGGGATGATTTGTTTCTTCGCGACTTGAGAACTTTTATGAAGGGTAGTTCACCAAGACTGAGGCAGAGGCAGAGAATAAAACCGGAGAACTTAGTAGCAGAGAAGACGTAAGGCAAGAATTTGAGTTTTTAATCTAAGTTTATCCATACTGGAGTCTAATTGGATTTCCGTGAAGGAAATAAGAGATAAAATGTGCCTCGTATAGATAAAAATGACGGGTTTTGAAGATCCTCTAAACGCGTCCTTGGACCTTTCACTTCATATGAAAAGTATAATGGAAGGGAACCATAAAATGGTCCCCCCGGAAAATGAAGCACTACTACTTACAGTCGTGATTGTTGCTTTGTGTTCAGCATAATCGGAATATAAGGACGTCGCATTGAGAGCCTAATCGCTCAAACCAGAAGTCACAAATCAACGGTAATCTTTCAATGGTTTTTGATGAGGCTCTTTTACGAAGTACTTCCACTTAACTTTTAATGTTACCCAGCCCTAAATATGTCTGTCAAGTGGCACGACGATCAAAGGCCAAGCACGTTTGTTAATGGGCCTGGAAGAGATTGTTTCGAGGACTTGAAATAGAAATAGAAAAAGAAAAAGCAAAAGCAAAAGAGACAGGAATACAAAGAGGAGGTAAATGATAAAGTGAAAGAGAAGGTCAAAGAGAATGAGCAATATAAAAAAGAAAGAAAAAGAGAAAGATGCGAAGGAGCGACGGAAGGAGAATGAGTATGAAAAAGTAAGAGGGGCAGAAAAAAAAAATAAAATGAAGGAGGTGGAGGAAGAAGAGGAAGAAGAAGGGATACATCAGCTCAAGTAATGCATCATTTTATACACTTGCCGAGTACTGATTGTCACTTGTTGACATTGACATGTCCTAGTCGATGTTCATTTTGCATGCTCATGCAAGTAAGAATGAAATAGGAAAAATGTTACAAATCAACCTTCTTTAGGGACATTCTCCTTTTCTCTTCTCTTCCTTCACTCCATAGCTCTAATCCTCCCTCTGACTCCAACCCTGCACATGTGAAATAAACGCGTCCGTACACACAAGCGTGAGTCCACTGACGTACCTCCTAGTTAGTCTGGCCTACAGTTTACTCAACTTTAAGGGCCTTCCGAAGTGAGACGGTGACATGACAACACAAATCGTCATCTGCTCGCGCCCCTAATCCTCTCTTTTTCGATATAATTTGTTTTCGAGCCTATCAATAGATCTTAGGCAAAACTAAGAATTGCTGATCTGACGGACGAGATTAACTGCTCAACCAACCAGAACTAAAGAATACGAAGAAAAATTGGGCTTCGAGGAATCTCTTGTTTCATAATTGTTGAGCTTACTTCCATTTCGAGTGGAAGTGTTGGGCGAAGAGATTTGATGGTCCGTTCCACCGGAAAATGACGGCGGATTCCTTTTGACCATCTGTCGATTGGCTTAACTGGATTATTCATGCTGAAGCTGTTTCCGAGGCAATCTCCTTCGATTTCGGTCAAAAGGTGCTAAACTTTCGTCCGTCATATGACGAACATCATCAGAGCAAGTTATCATCGTCACAAAAAAATTCAAGCTCTTGACTGGTTTTCTTGACTCGTTAGCTTGCATTTTGTTGTGACAATGTTACCTCGCTCTGATGATGTCCTTCATATAACGGACGAAAGCTTAGCACCTTTTCACCGGAATCGAAGAAGGTTGCCTCGGAAACAGTGTCAGCATGAATCTTCCAGTAAAGCCAATCGACAGCTGGTCAAGAGGAATCGGCCGTCGTCTTCTGGTGG